AAGGCTCACGGCCGAAACTCCCTCCCCGGCGCGACCCCGGCAGCCCGAGTCTGGAGCCGGCACAGCCACTTGCATCCTCCCGAGGGCCGGGTTGACTCTTCCAGCGGAGGAACTGAGGTATCAGGGGATTTACTTCGACATCGACATTAAAATTAACGTCAATTAGCGTCTCAGTGTCACCTGATGTGGGTGGGCAGCACCAGACCCCTCTGCTGAGGGATAGCCAAGCTTGTTCCCTCTCCAGGCAAATGGCCATCTGATGTGAAAGCTTCGGGAATGCACGAGGAAGGCTAGAAAGCCCTTTTAGGAGGTCGAGGAGACACTGCTTTATGCTGATGGGGTCCCAGAAGCTTCTAAGGAGAAGAGGTACCTTTTAAAGGGTGGTCAGAGGAAGCAGGCAAGCTCACAGGCACAAGAGTATTCAATCCAGGGTAAGAAATGTAGTCCACCAACCAAAAATCACATCCAAGGGTGATACTGTTTTCAGTCATAAAATTGTGCTTTCAGCATTTACTTTTCATTTAATAATTGTGTCACCCTGTTCCTTCAAAAATAAAGGGCTGCATAGGATACCAGACTGGACTCGCAAGGGCAGGAACTCCCAAGAGAGGAGGGCAGCCTCTGAGATGACTCTCACTCTTGGCACCACTACTGACTGTGTCTCAGGAGTGTAACTATCTGTTTTGCTTTCACCTGGAGGATTTAGAAGGATCACAGCCACCACTTCACATTACTACTCCTGGCTGGGGGTAGCTGACTCAGGCTTCTGCACTTAACGTGTGGCTTTACTCTGCATGAAGCGTTTTGGGTCACAGCTCAAAGGGGACACACTGGATTTAAGGAGAGAGCCTACAGGAGCTACCCTGACTGGGTGCTTTCCTTAAGCTCCATCAGACAGCAAGTTTCTCAAAAATTTATTTGGGTAAAATTTTGGGCTGCCCTGGGATTCAAGTAAAAATTTTTTGTGGCTTGAGAGAAAAACAGATTGTTTGCCTATAAAACCTTTAATTCTTACTTGGGGTACAGGTAACACAAGAAGTGCAAGTGATAAAATCCTGGGTACACTACTTTGCCAGAATGAGACCAAGTTCAATACTGTTCTGCCTGTGTTTCCTTGTCATTAGTCTAAGGAGAGCTCAGGGAAGATGAGTCATCAGAGCTGAACGACCAAATAGGATCCAGATTGCTTCAGTTCATTCATATTTGTGGGCTCTGTGTACTGCTAGAAGAGGGGAGCACAGGATCTTGTTGGCTTTTTGAACCAACAGCATTCTCTGAACTCAATTTTCAGGTTTGCATATGCAGAAAAGTGCTTGCAGTATATTTATCGTGCTTCATAAAGTCTTACCACTGTTATATCTTTTTCCATCCTTCATGTAGCCAATATTTGGCTTCACAGCATGCAGATCATTTGCTTATCGTACCCTCCCTGGTTTGTCAGTAAAGCCTGTTCGGTTCCCTGCGGTGCAGCCCAGCTGGGATCACCATGGGTAAGCCTGCCTGGATCCACTGTGCAGAGCACAAGGCAGCTGCCTATCAAGCAGGTGTGAAGGGCACAGGCCAGGCCTTCTACTTTATCTCCAAGTGTCACTCCCCAGACTTCCTACTGGAGCAGGGCTGGTCATGGGAAGATATTTTTGTGTCATAATGTGTGACATCTATCATACAGGCAGTTACAGGAGGAGTCCAGTATTCCTGGATACAATGAAGCAGATATGTGCTCTTTCAGAGCATACCCGGTCAGCATAAACTTCAGTTTTAAGGGACACTGAGCTGTAGCATTTCTAGTGGGAAAATACCATGAATGCATAGCAAGAAATCAAGACCTCTTCAGATTTTTCTTATAATTTATCAGCTAAAATTAAAGTTCAGCTCTTGTTTTAAATGAGAACAGTAGTGCTGTCTTCAGGGAAAGCCAAGTCTGAACCCAGCCGATGTGCTTTGCTACTTGTCTGTCCAGAGAGTACCACGACCTTCAGTGGCACCCAGCATATTTTCACGTCCAGCATGTAGAATGAAAAAACATTGTACCTGCTGCTGGGCACAGTTCTTGTCTCTTTAACTTGCTGCAGGCTTTCCCAACATGTCATCATTAAAGCACAGTCTGGAGTCTGGAGTGATGCTAAGTAGCTTTGCAGCATCTGGCTGTGAGGCAGCCAGCTCACACATATTGAACACCTCGATGTATGTGAACCCGTGGCTAATTCCTTCTCTGTTTTCTTTTGTGGAGGGCAGGAGAAAGGCTACTGCCTATGCTGCTGTTATTGGAAGGCACAAATTAAATATTTGAATACAAAAAGACTTGGCAAATAAACTCGATCATTTATCATTTTCAAATTATTCCTTGTTAGTCCTTCTGTTGAAAAATAGATGAGAGGATAAGAGTTAGCAAGAGCAAGAAGACGGAGGGAAAGGACTCACTGAGATACAAGCTTGTTGTAGTTTGTAACTGTTATAAATAATAGTGCCTTGCATTATTCTTGGAAGGGGTTGATTTCCATAGAAGAGCATGTGTGCTATAAACTGGTCTAGAGAGGCAAAGTCCATCAAACACTAGGAATTTTGTGTGCTGTCTTACAACAGGATTTTTGTGCCTTCCTGTTTTTCAACTGGAATTAAAGGATAAACTTGTAAGGAATTTTGATAGTGCTTTAAGAAATTAGCAAAGCAACCTTGCTGTACGTTCAGCTAGGGACTACTCCAGCACATTGTGTGGAGATGCTCTTGGAATCACTTGCTTCTCCTGACAGAGATTAAAAGCATCTGGCATAGCCCAGGACTATTGCAAAATTGCAATCACTGTGTCTATGCAACAAGGTCCCCTTGGTGTCCTCCAAGGGAACTCGCTGAGAGTGTTGTTCACTGAGCTGAATTTGAGGCAGCAGGAGGAGATTCAGTGTGTGCAGTTGTCATGACTGTCACTCCACATGCTCAAGAGCCTCAGGCAAGGATTGATTTGCAAATCTCAAGCGAGTTATAGGTAAATCAGAGTCTTGGACTGGCCTAAATCCTGAACATGTTGCACTTCAGGTGTGTGCATGCTGTAGTTATAAGCACTACCTGAAAGCAGACAATGACATGGGGTGGGAAAGCAAAGCGTGGTTACCCCCTCTTTTTCCACTCTTCTCATTTCAGTGCAGTATCCACTTCAGCTCCCTACTCCTCCCACCTTGGCTCATTGTGTGCTGTGCCTGGGTCTGCGGGGAGCAGCGGGACTGAGCTGCTGCAGGCTGGTGTCACCCACCCATAAGTTGTGCTCTGCCTCTCTGCACATCCGTGCCAGCTGATTTGTGGAGCTGTGCCGAGTATTTGCAGAGGAAGAGAGGCCTCTGAAGGATAGTCCTGGAGGATGGAAAGCTTTTGGTCAGCACATTTGAGTGGTGGTGCTACTAAAGAGGCTGGGACAAAATACTGCCATGAAAATGATGTGCAGGTGAGACCTAGCAGGAGTAGGTTCTGATTTTCAGGGGATGTGCAATCCCTTCATTTCTACTTTACTTGCTATGCACCTAGGTTATGGATAGAAATAAAATTAAATTAAAGACTTAGTAGGAGAGTAATAATTTTCCATGAGAAAAAGAAAAGTCTTTGCTCTTGTCTGGAATTAAAATACTCCTTAAGGTGTATAGTGTGATCTCCTACACACAGTTTCAGGTAATCTTGTGGTAAAACTCCATGAAATGTATATGCTTGATCTTATTTATGATGTAGATTCAGAGTGGTTATTTTTATAGCTTAGGAGAGTTGGGAATTGGAGCCTAATTGTGCAGAGATACTGGTGCTTTTGCTTGTTCTTCCATGGTTATCTTTCTGCTAGGAACAACACGTCAGCTGGTCTTTTGCTGAAGTAGGTCCCTCTCTGACACCTGTCTCCCGCTCCCTCTCTCAATAGCAGCAGCACAGAGGGGACTTTGCACCTTTTGGCACCTCCACCAGTAGCCCACCTCCACTGAGCCAGCAACTGTAAGATCTTAGCAGACAAAATGAGGTTTTCATTTTTTAAAATTTTATATTGTTTGGGAACTGGGTCACTAAACAGGCAAGAAAATACATTTTTGAAATAAGATGAAGCATTGAGATTTGTCCAATTAAGTCTTTCCTAAAAAACCTCCCCAGCCAAACATAGACAGAAGCTGCTTTGGTGAGGATGTACCGATCGACCGACGTTGCTCCTGCCCCGAACCACTTGTGTTTCACTCAAAGGCAGAGTGCAGTTGGACAATATAGGTGGAGAACACACAAGAGCCACAGGTTCCCTGTTAGTTTATTGATCCCACAGATGTCTGTAGTGCAGAAGGAGTAGGACAGACCTGCCTTCCCTCCTTCCCAGGCTTCTCTGCTATCCTTCAGTGTGACACTTGGCCCCATCGCAGCCCTGTCATGCCTCATCCTAAGCTTGCTTATCTTAAACTCCCCTCTGTCCCATCCTTAGCAGGGTGTCGCTGCTCAGTCCTGCTTGTTAAACCTCCAAGATAATCACCATCTTTTATCCCGTGGCGAGCATCCTTGACTAGACCCTGGGTTTGAATTTCAGAGTGTAAAAAATGAGATAAATGTTTCCTCTCCTCCTCAGCGGGAGTCATTGCTGTGTCCATTTTCTCCTCTTACAGGTGGGATCCCACCAAACCATCCTTGTCTTCTCCTTGGCTCAGGTGGTAAAGGCATCCAGGCACCCTCCTCCTCCCTCTGCTGCTGCGCTGCGTCTACCTCCCCTCCTCCTTGCTGCCTTTGTGATTTCTACATTCTCGGGAGTGCTGTCCCCTTCTCTCATGGATTCCTCTTCCAAATGATGCCTGTTTCAGTCCAGCCCAGCTCCTTATTTATGCCTCCCTTGGGAGCAGTGCTCTCTGCAACTCACAGCCTCTGAGATTTTATTAAATTGAAGCGGTGTGGAAGGGAAACAGCACAAGCCTGAGCTGTGCTGTCTCCTTTGTGTCCCTGCTATCTGTTCAGTCTCTGAGCAGTTTGGAACAGATCCTTTCACTAAAACTGTGAGTTAGCAGGCAAGGGCAGAAATTATTATAATAAAATCCTCCTGTTACACTTGGTGTTCCCTCATGTTTATTTTTAAGATGTCTGAAGACCATTAATCAACCAGTAAGGGCATGATGCCTTGGGTTGCAATGTTCCAATAATTCATAATTAGAACTAAGTGTTTGAGGCTGCATGATCTGCCTTTTAGAAGCAAGATGAAAAGGTCTTTTGCCAACCATCCCATTAGAAAAAGGCTTCTGGTCCATGAAAAGAGATTAAATCAGGGGATCGTTGAAGAATAATTTTGTAAATTGACTGCTAACACTCAGTTGTTGAGGCAGTTCTACCCCTACAACTGTAAAACAGCTACTAGCAGCAAGTTTTTCTTTAAGCAAATAAATGCCTTTTTGTGAAATACCTTTACCCAAATTCAAATAAGAAAGGATTCTGCCTCAGACATTGTTCCATTTTGTTGTCATTTGATCTTTTTGTGGAGTTGGAGTATTATCAGCATTAAGATGAAAAGTCATAATAAAATAAATGACCTGATGACTAATGCATGCCTGGGTCCAGAAGAGCCAAAATTAGCATTCTGCACAGCCAGGCAGGGAGAGGAGGTGAGATGAGCATGACTCTGAAAGCAGTGGATTTAGTTTTAAAAGTCAAATGGTATTTTGCACTGCAGGCATAGTTATTGCTTTGCACAGGTTCTTGCAGGCAGATGGTCTTAGGACTTTAGAGACAGTGTGTCTTGGATGTCACAGCCCTGATTTACCCCCCTGTGAGCTTCATGAACAGCCTGTTCAGCATCTTCAGGTGTGAGGGACCCTGATAGCTGTGAGGGGACGGCGGTGTCACCAAGGTCAGAGGGCACACTGACGATGGGATGTACACAACCTGGTGAATGGTGGGGCTTTAGTGGTGTAATGGTGTAGTGGTGTAATGGTGTAGTTCCAGGTCCAGGTCCATCTGGGTTTACTTGACATCCATTGCCCACTGAGGATCCCAGCCCCCTCCTAATTTCCTGTGCTGGAACCTGGTATGAGTGACATAAATCAAGGGAGGTAATATGGAGGTAGATCACATCTCCATGTGGCTTTGTGCCTGCGAAATCTATATTTTGGGTTTTGCAAAAAAATGCCAGATCAGAGTAAGGGATACCAAGACATTGTCCCATAGAATAATTTAGGTGTCAAAAAATGCAGAAGTAAATTTAATAATTTACAGCAGCAGTTGCTTCATAAGTATTCATTTAATTGAAGAAAGACATCCAAAAGAAAAATTACATCCCCCACCTGCCAAAGCTTTCTCCATATTAAAAGGGATGTTAATGGTGAGCCTCATGGGAATGGTAAGAATTAATAGCATCAATATTCTGTATCTCAGGTTACAGGAAAAAGCATTTTGGCACTCAGGTGCCATTTGTATCGTGACATGGAAGGTGCCTGGATGTGGACTAAGGCTGTTTTGTTTTAGTAACTGCATAAACATAGAGTAAAAATGCTTCTTGTCCTGCTGCCAAATTTTTACCAAATAATAAAAAAGAGTATCTGTAATGCTGATCAGCAAATAAGAAACCCTTCAAAATAGGTGCACCATTACCTATATTAAATCTCAAGCTGTCTAGAAGAAATCTCAGGCAAATGGGAAGAAATAAATCTCAAACATAATAGGAATCTCTTAGTACTTCTTTTAGCTAATGTTGTATATTAATCCTGTGAAAATAGCCTTGACACAGTGTTATGTGCACTTTTAAAACTGTGATGAAGTAGAATATTTTTTAATAACATATGATATCAGTAGAACCTGTATGTCACTGCAACTGAGGCAGATGTACCCTGGGTTTTGTATACCTGTTGATTTGCCAGGGAGATGAATATGTGAATGTGTTCATCAACAAGATCTTTTATTTCCTTTTTATAGTGCCTAGGCAGAAAGGCTGGGTATGAAGCCAGGGGAATATTTGTTGCCTGGAGTGTCCACTCTACCACTAGTTGAGAGTAGTCTCTTTATAATAGTATCACAAGTCCCCGAAATACAATGGGTTTAAGCTGCTGTAAGAGAGGTTCAGATTAGATACTGATGGGGAGCAATGGTGCTGAAGGCTGGATGGTCTGGGCAGGCAGCGGCGATCTCTCAGGAAAGGTCAGGCAGACATCTCTGTGGCAGGGTGAGCTGCAGCTGCCGACTTTGCCTTGGGGTGGCATGGCAAGACCGAGTGACCTCACAAAGCTCCTCCTGGCCCCTGATTACCTGGTTCCCTGATACCCTGTGCAAATGCTCTTTGTCCTCTGCTGTGACACCTGCCGGTATCGATAAAACTTTGTGTCTCTCCCTGGCATAACTGTGCTCACGGTGGTAGCTGCTCCCAGCACGGTGGGCATCACAGGGATCTGGCCAAGCTGGAAACGTCAGGTGCGGTTCACATCCCAGAAATGAAGTCTGTGTCCTGAACTGCTTGCAAATTTTATTAAGCTGGCAGCATCTTGCATCCTGCCTGCCAGAGAACGGGCCTTGGACAGAGCTGTTTTGGATTGGATAGTCAGAGGAAGGAATAAAAATCCGTCAGCCCTTTATTTAAGTGTGAAAGAATTGAAGAAAAACAAAAGATTGGAATAAACACACGCAGAAGGGCTGCCTTAAGGGCGCCTTTCCTCTTCTCAGTCTATTATAATATCAGAAAACAAAATATTAGTAAATTGATTTTAATATATTAAAATCTACCAAATTATCAAAATAATACAAACAATTAAATATATCACATTTATTACATATATACTGTTTAAAGGATATAATTTCTAAATAAAATATTTGAAACGTATTTTACCCATATATACTTGGGCAGCCTAAGTGATGAGTAAGTATCAGTAGGAAAGTCTTGCTGCTGAAGTCAATGCCACCTGGGACCAAAGAAGTAGCTGCCCAGAGGGGTCTGTAAGGTATTAGTGCTCAGCATTTCCACCCAGGTGTGAGTGGTACTGTGCAGTAACCCCAGGCCCCGAAGGAAAGTCCACCCAAACAAACCCTGCCCTAACCCCTCCAGGCAAGGGAGTCCTGTGTGGGACAGGCACTGAGGGTGGTCAGGGAGATAACAGTCACCACTTCCCATGAAAATATGGAAACTCATTCTCACAAAGCAAGTTGCTTCAAACTGACACCAAGAAGTCCAAACAAAACCAGGTCCCAAAATGCAAGATGCTAAGCAAAACCAGCTAGGGAAGGATCCTCCCTCTTCCCTAAGGAGTTTATTATCAAGTGCAAAGATACAGGGTCATTACATTATTGTTTTCATGTAGAGCTGGAGAAGCTATGCATGGGAGTAATTAATTTGCTTAAGATCATGCTGAAAATAGTGGCAAAGCTGCATACTGGCAACAAGTGTGCTAAGCTCTGGCAGGTACCCTACTCCTGAGGAGGCAGCATGTACAGTGTGATCCCTCATCACAAAAAAATTTCTGTTTCTCTGCCACTGCTAAACATCCACAGAATCAATTTTCACTTGTAGCTTCTTGAAGTGTTTGAGTGGTATTGCTGAGACTGTCAGTAGGATGTGCCATAAGCAATGGGCAATCACCTTCAGTCTCTACAGACACACATGAATTCTGCTCCCAGGGAGACTGCTGGAGGAGCCCAGCAAGTCATCCTTCCTGCAGAAATAGTAATAACCAAGCACAGGGATTTCATTGCAAGAACTTCTTTAAACTCCCTGATTCAGTGGCACAGGAAAGATGTCAGTTGGTGAGGCTGCACCAGTGGTGACTGGGAGAGGGTTCTGGGGTGAGGTTGGGCTGTGCAGAGGGTTCCCAAGTCCAGGAACACTCAAGCAGCAGCCTCATGAGGATGTGGAAGCCCTCAGCAGCCAACCAGGTGAGGAGGAGGCAGTGCCATGAGGGAGAGCTTTAGGTTAGATACTAGAAGGGGGTTCTTCACCCAGCGAGTGTTTGGGCACTGGAACAGGCTCCCCAGGGAAGTGGTCACAGCACCAAGCCTGACAGAGTTCAAGAAGCATCTGGACGATACTCTTGGGCACGTGGTGTGACTCTTGGGGATGGTCCTCTGCAGGGCCAGGAGTTGGACTAGATGATCCTTCTGGATCCCTTCCAACTTGGCATATTCTGTGATTCTGCAATTCTATGTCCAAGCACTTTTGTCCCTTCAAGTGGAGAGGCTGCCTTGCAGCTCCCTGTCCCTGCAGCATGCCAGCACGCACCATTAGCATCCCAGGCCTTTTTACATTCAAGACATTTTTGGCAGTGATCTTAGCCTTTACTAAATAAGGAAAGACATTATCGAAGAACTAAGGAGATTTTAGAAAGACCTTAAGTAACCAAAAATTTAATTTTGAGGGCATAAGGAACAGTAAAAGCAATTGGCCAACCAGCATATTGAGCACTAATATAGCAATGCAAATTCCACTGTTGCTTGTGCGAAAATTCAGGTCGCAGCTGAGCTCTTCCCAGGAGATTTCTTGAATCATATGCCCAAATCTGGAAGCCCTGAGAAGCCAGGCTCTGTAAAAAAAGGAGAGTGGTCTATCCTCCCTGTTGCAGAGTAGAAACAGCATGGGTTTGCAGTCACTGCTGCTGCCCCAGAGCTGAAACAATCCTGGTGCAACACAGGCTCCCAACCTCTCCTGTAATGTCACAGCTGTGCCAATGGAATTGGTGGGTCATTGCTACATTTGGGTTGATTGGAGGAGCTGCTCTGGGGGTAGGCTATACTTGAGTGCTGTGCTAACTGCCATGGGGAGAAAAGAGGGGTGTATGTCTTGTGTAATCCATGCCATCTGTGAGTAGGTTAATACAAGCCTTTTTACATCCCAGTCTTGAGATGATGCTGTGTGGTGCTACCACATTCAGCTGGAAAAACCCAGACCAGTAGGAAAATATTTCTGAAATCTTAAGCAATTTCAGGAGGTTTAAATCCACTTGACACTGAGTAAAAAGTCTAACAAGGATATTTCAGACACCACAAGAGGTGGTTTATATGTCCAGCTGTGCATGGCTCCATCTTCCCTCAGACTAGGGCTTTCCTGGCATAAATGAAGCTGTTAATTACACTCAGGACTTTGTGGACAATTCAGTGCAACCTCAGGGACAATGAGGTGAATTGAAGCTGAACTAGACCGAACTTTAGATGGAAAAGCACAGAGAAAGCGAGACCTCCCTCTAGTGTCTGGAGAATCCTGGGCAGGAAGCAAGGAGCAAAAAGAAAACCCAACAGTATTTATAAGAGTAAGAAAGGCACAAAAGACAGTAAAATAGAAGGGCTAAGGAAAGTGGCTTAAATGGGCTATAAATGTAACTTACCAGTTGTTTCAAATTTTGAAACAAGGTTCCTGGTAGGCAGATTTCAGTGATTTGCTTTGGTAATGGATGTTACTTCACAGAATCACTGAATATGCCAAGTTGGAAGGGACCCACAAGGATCATTGAGTCCAACTCCTGACCCTGCACAGGACCATCCCCAAGAGTTACACCCCGTGTCTGAAAGTATCACCCAAAGGCTTCTTGAACTCTCTCGGGCTTAACTACCTTCATAATGAAGAGGATGCAGCAAGTGGGAGCATGCAGATAGAATCTGCTAATGCAAACAGGTGAGACACTTCAGGGTGGAGGGCAGCACAGAAAAATGGCCTGGGCAAGGAGAGGGGGAGATGGACTGAGTCAAGGCCGTAGGGTATGTGGTTTGAGCCCCTACCAAGCATCCCCTATTTTTTGTACTTCAGTTCTGCTGTTGAGGCACTTGGGTCAGGGAAAGGAGCCCTAAGCTGATGTGGTACCTCTGTGAAGGGGTTGAAGGGAAAATAAGGTCCAAAATCAGCAGAGCCTCCTAAGCAGTAGCAAGTCTTGAGCAGTAGGCTGCAAGGTGGTTTTGGAAATGGAATTTTCTATTTCTTCTACACTCAGTGGACCATTGGACAGGAAAGCTGACACTGATGGCTGTATTGCACTCCCCTGGGCAAATTTTCATGTAGGGATAAATTGTAAAGATGAGAAGTACACCACATATCAAATAAATCCCTGTGTTCTGCTCTGGAGACAGTAGCCTGAATTTGCCAGCCCTTATCAGAGCTTTGTGTTGCCAAAAGCTGCTTTACTGCTGAAGAAGGCTGAGCTGGTGCTTTACCAGATCTATGATTTTAAGCAAGTCCCTTTAATATTCCTCCAGTATGTTTGTGCACCTGGGCAGTACCATTCAGGTTGAGCCTCAGTGAATGGCAGCATAAATAGTCACTAAATCTTTGTTGATATTCTTCTGAAGGGAAAAGAAAAATCCCTCAACTCTGACATTTACAATAGACGTTACCTGCTCTCTGACATTTGGGCTCATAAACCGAGATCGACCAAATTTCTGTTCTTAACTTACCCCACTGTGTCAGACGAGATATGAACTGACTGGCCAGCCCTTTCTCTAAATAGCAGTGCACCTGCCCCTCGCTCCCAGCACGTGAGTTAAGGAGGACTGGTATTATTTCAGTGATGATGAACTGAGCCTCAAGAAAATAAATGAGGCATCCTTGGAAGAGCAGGGAACTGAGGGTCTTCTATAGCCCAGTCTTGCACCATAATGAATTTTTTTTGATCCCACAGACACAGGAGGTCTGTGTGCACTGCATCAGCAGTGCTGGCTCTGCACCAGCCGTGCATGGTGTGAGCAGTGGCTGCTGTGGCTACACAGCTGCACCCTCAGCAGGATTTCAGGGAGGGGCCATGACCGTGCTGCCTGTGCTGCATGTGCAGGCAGGGGCATTGCGCATCTCAGATGCCACAGGTTCCTGCCAGCAAGACTGGGCATGGATGGAGGGTCATGCTCTGGACTGCTTTCTTGAGGCTGTGTGATGGTGGTGGTGCCACATTGCTGTCACTGACATCCAGGCATGGCTTTAAAAGGAAGAGAATCAGGACAAGGTTTTCATAACTCCTATAAGGCCAATCACTCGAAGCAGCATTAACAGAGGTTTTATGTGTCTCCATTAGCCCGGTGGGGAATGGATGAACAGAAACAATATAACCTTGCTCTGGGCTCAGTAGCTGGGTGAGTAAGTGTAGGGGTAAATGGATGATTGTAGAGCTGAAAAATTTGAGGCTAAGACAGGAGCTGAAGCAGAAGCATGAATGTAGAAGGTTTGCCTGATCTCCCCCCACTCCCCTTTTCTTTGAGAGGGAACTCAAAATAGCTGCTTGTGCTTCAATGAAATTTTTATTTCTAAAGGAGCAGAGTGACAAAGCTGTATTCATGGTGGCACAAGATACTCCTGTCCTGCTGACCTTCATTAAGACAAACAGCTCTGAACAAGAAAGCTTACGTAGGGCTCCTTTAGCTCGGTGTGTCCCAGGTTCAGTCAGCCAGAAGTATAGCCTTACCCTCAGCCCTGAGCAGG